TAGTCGGCGAGGAAGAATGAACTGACGTCGGAGCCTACGGGAAGAGAACCGGCGGTCAGGGACAGTCCTCTCGGCAGCTTCCACCTGGCGGCAGAGCGCCGAAGAGGGGGAAGCGCTGGGAGAGCTGCTTGGCGCTGAAGAGGGACTGACGCTTGGCGACGCGGAGGGTGAGGAGCTCGGCGACGCGGACGGCGCAAGCGTGGGAACAGACGTCGGAGCCTACGGGAAGACACTCGATGGTCACAGAGTCCCGGTGGCAGCTCTGACCGAACGGTAGAGCGCCGAGGACGGGGCTGAGCTGGGGGTGCTGGTAGTTGACACCGTCGGCGAGGCTGTGGGGCTGGCGGTCGGTGACGCCGTCGGCGAGGCTGTGATCCAGGTAGTTGATGCCGTCGGCGAGGCTGTGGGGCTGGCGGTCGGTGACGAGGAGGGCGAGCTAGTCGGCGAGGAAGAATGAACTGACGTCGGAGCCTAACAACTAAGTAAGCGCATCTACCATCTTTGAAAGAACGCGCCGTGTGGGCGCGAGAACCGCAGATGATGGGCAGCGGTGCCAGCGCGGCCAAACGTTCTGCTTGGACGCGGCAGTCTCAGAGTCGCCGCCCACAGCAGAAGATTACCGCAGCTGCGCGCATGAAGCTCAACCCGAAAGAGGTCGGGACGGAGCGGGATCAGTCAGATAGGTTTTGGCGTCAGTATGCCCCTGACGAGTGGCGGCAGAATGGCTGGAGAATCACCCGCCCGCTGGCGGGGGTGCCTTTTCTTCTCACCATCAAGGACTACACCGTGGGTGTACGCGGACCGCACGGGTGCGAGCCCACCTACGTCGATTGCCTCGTCGACCAAAACAACTCGTTTAGCCCAGTCCACTTTCCGCACGCTGCCGAGGCGCAGTTTGCGTGCTGGTCACTTTTTCGCCAGCACCCGACACTGCATCCGCGGTTCATCCTTGGCAGAGGCACGCAATTCAGCAGCGCTCCATGGACTGAGGCGTTGTGGGCCCTGATGGAGGTGTGTTCGAGATGGGGAGTCTGTCGTCGCTTCCCACCCCGTCCCCGCGTCTCTGCCTAGTCTCTGCGCCCTGCTGGAGCCAAAGCCCCGCTCATTCGTTACTGTCAGCCTGGTAGGTCGAGCGGCACATGGTGGAACAGAGACGCGGCCCACAGGGCTGCGCCGTCATCGGCCAGCGGCGCAACCGGAACAGCGGGTGGCTCGGCAGCGAGCAGTCGTGGTTCATAGCCCGCAGCGACGCGGGCGAGCTGCAGCAACGCCTTTTCAAGCGTTCGGCTCCAGAGCGGGGCATCGTCAAGGTGGGCCTGATCAATCGGGCCGGTTCGCGCCGGGTCGTGAACGCGGACCTGCTTGCAGCACGGCTAATCCGCACGCTGGCGAGGCACAACCTTTCGCGCTCGTACTCGCTCAGCCACATCAACGACCTGGGCGACTTTTCGTTTGAGGAGCAGGCCCACTGGGTGCACGAGAAGGACGTGATCATCGCACCGCACGGCGCGCAAAATACCAACTTTGTGTGGGCGCGCCGCTGCACATCGATCCTCGAGATCTACCCCGCAAACTACTTCATCCCGGGCCTTTACCTGCAGTTGGCGAGAGCCGCCGGGGCAGTCATATTTGCGGCGCATCAAGGCCGGCAGGACATGAGCAAGGTCTTCAATTACCGCCTCCGGCGTGCCGTGCGCTCGAGAAACATATTTTTTGACGTTGAGGCGGCTGCTTCGACGCTGAAGCTGATGCTCGACGCGAGGCTGCAATGCCTGGGCTCGGTCGAAATGTGAGTTCCACCTGCCGCCCTGCCATGTGTGGAGAGCCCCGAGGCATAGCCGCCTTAGTGGTCGATAACTTAATCTTCTCTCTTCAACATATTAAATGATATTTCTTTCCCCCTTACCCCCCCTCCCCGGCCTCGGGAGGTGGAGGCGCTCGGCGCTCGCGACCCGCTACCCGGCCACCACTGTCCACAGGCGATAAACAGGACTGCCGCGCACAACATACTACATACATGGCGCGGCGCAAGCACCGGCATTCGGTCGCGCGATTTGTCGACCGCGTGCGCATTTTCGCGGCGGGTGGACACGGCGGCAACGGGTGCGCCAGCTTCTTCCGTGACACCCGCGTCGAGCGCGGGCCGCCCGACGGCGGCAGTGGCGGCGGCGGTGGCAGTGTGTTTGTGCGCGCCAGCGGCGGCGTGGGTGACCTGTCTCTTGGGCGGCACTCCTTCCGCGCCGGGCCAGGGGCGCATGGCTCGAGCAGTCAGATGAACGGCAGGCGTGGCGCCGACGTGTACATCGAGGTGCCGTGCGGCACAGCCGTCGAGCGTCTCGGCAGGGTGACACGCTCCGTTGTGCCGGCGCTCCATCCGGCCGACGAGACGGTCACGTTGCTGGCGAACCTGATCTACGAGGGCGACGAAGTGGTGATCGCCGCTGGAGGCGCCGGCGGCCGTG